CTCCTTACAAACTCTGCCTCTCCAACATCCTTATCAATATTTCTCTATCACAGCTGCAATGATAGATCATAAAACATGTGATGTATGAAACTGAGAAACATGATTCAGGCTGCCATATGCAGAGAAGCTGGCCTTGCACTCCCGGGCTGAATGTACCCAGGAAAAGCTGGAGGGAAAATTCACATAGCTGGTAGCCTCATCAGGTAGTCTGAAAGACTAAGAAAGGCTAACTAAGAAGTTTAGCTTCTTCACCCTAATAAATCCTAATTGTAATCAATGAAAAACATCTCAATCCTTTCCTGTTTGGTATGCAAAATGACCTACCCATCAAGTGTACTCCCAGTCTTTCCAAAAATTACTTCAGTCTTTCCATATCTCTATGAATGAGATACTCCCACTTCTACACAGGAAAGCTGGACACAGAGAGGTTTACTGATTGCAAGACACTTTATTCTTGATACTAAAGACTGGCTCCATGGATCAGCTTGTTCAGTAATATTAATTACTATTGCTCTTGTGAAAAGCTCTAAATGGGCAAGCATAGGCAAGATGAGCAATTAGAACCTATCTGAACTGCAGGTAAATCTAGTGGGTTTACTGCACTGCCCTGTGAATCAATAATTTTCAAGGTCCTGTCTTTCTTTGACCACTAATGCTCTCCAACTCTCCATATTTGCCAGACACTTCTCCACATTGCAGAACATTTAAATTGAGAGAGTTCTAATGTGTTATGTTTGACCACTAATGCTCTCCAACTCTCCATATTTGCCAGACACTTCTCCACATCGCAGAACATTTAAATTGAGAGAGTTCTAATGTGTTATGATTGACTATTTCACACGATTGTTTCCACTATGCATTGGAAGTTTGAAGGAAGTTATTTTTTATGTCCTTTGAAGCTGCTATTTTAAGCCAAGTTGACAGTGTTCATAATATTTCAAACACCCTGACAGATTATCCTGCTAATGTGCACTGTAAATGCACATGTACATGAACCTTAAAGAAAACCTATACACTGACAAAATAACATACATGAGAAAATAACACAGATTTATGACAAAATGAAAAAATCCTCTGAGGCAGGTGATTATAATGGATCACAACCATACTGAGGAAGTTTGGAGAAAGGCAAGGCAGAGCCAGAATGCATTTGACTTCAGCATTAGCAAGTTACCAATGTCAGTATCATTAAGATAAAAAGAGTCTTCCTCCAAAAGTTCCAAACGTATTTTTACTCTCACTACATACATCTGGGAGATTTGGAATCGTACCAAAAAAAGTGTGGAAGCAAAAAACTGAATGAAACACTTGTAGTGTGCATTACTAGTCAGAACTAAAGGTAGGAGTTGATCACACAACAAAATCACTCCCTAGACACAACAACATAATTTTAAAAAAGCAGATACTGAGGTGGCTTTAAGTGGCTTAGAAAAAACAATTAACTCGTAAGGCTAGCTTACAACAAACAGGTACTTTGACTTAAGCTGGGATGATAACATATGGGATAGAAAAGATCTTGTTTCCCTCTAAATAAAAAAAAATATTCAAAGAACTATTTAATCACACCATTCTGGACCAAGTTCTACACTACTGAGCAGCAAACGCAAGTGACACCACAGTGGTGATGGGAACACCAACACACAAGAGGTTAATTTTTAATTTGTTTGCCCTCTAATAGACACATCAGTAGGATTCCTGTAGTCAGATGTAAAGTTAGCAAGTCATGTATGGAGCAGGGGATAATTAACCTATAATCAGTAGTCAGAAGCTAGGACTACTGTGGCAAGGAAGATTTCTGTGAGCTTCATCAGGGAGCTCCTGCTTATAAAATGCTTGCTTTTTGTGAACTCCCAGAGGAATAGTGGCTTCATACCAGCAATGCAGAAGTGTGCCTGCCTCTAAATGAGTGCCCGTTTTTCTCTAGGAAAGGGCATTATCAGACCCTCCTTCCTACCAGGATATCCACTTCTGCCCTTGGTACTGCTGTTTTCATGACCTTCCTACTGTGGACAAGCAGGGGCTTTATGTTTTCATTGAAGCAAAGAGAAACTTCCCTCTCTCTGAAGTGGGCTCTGTGTTTGACATGAGTTTTTACTCCTGTCAAAAATAAATACGTTTAAAAACCTTCACAGACATCAGGATAACAGGCACTATGGATAGTATGTAGTGTGAGCCATACTTGGTAGAAACACCTTCCTGGATTTAGTTTTGCTGTTAACATCATATGCAGAAACAATGGTATAAGCATTCAACACCAGGGTTGAAATGTAATTTATATTTTTGCTGAAATGCAAAAATGAATTCAGACAGTCAAAACAAGCCTTTATCAGATCAGCTCTGGCATGACAGTACAGCCAACTAACTTGCAGTTAACTTCAAGCACCTTCCTAATTCTGTCCTTCTTCCTGCTGCTTATGTGCCAAATCCATAGTCTAAAATAATGATGCCAGAATCATTCCTAACTGTTCAAATATTAGAAATTATAGAAACTATTTTCTGCTTTCAAACACTAGTGAATTTTGTTACAGGCTCAGTCAAGCCTTCTCAAGCTAAACACAAATGCTGTCTTAATTCTGACTTGAAACAGCTGTACTGTAGTACAACAAAATCTGCGTATATAGCTCTACACTTGTTTCAACAAAGTCAAATGGTATTTGAAATTTCTTCTTCAAAAAATCAGAAGTTAATGTTTCTACTATATATTTCTTCAAGTAGTTTAACCCTCTTGTCTTGACTCTCCACAGCTTTACCAGTTTCCCCGTGTCACCTACAGATTGTACCCTCACGACTGCACCACTTTGTCATGACTTAACATTTTCTTGTTCACCTTTGCAAGCATCTCTGCATCCTGTTAGGCCAGTACATGCTTTCATCATTTCAGTGCAGGAGTCAATCCCATCCTCCTCTTTCTAAATCCTACTATGAACACATGCTCCTTTTAAAAAATTTTTTCTCATCCCTCCCCCACCCCCAAATGTAAGAAGGCTTTTTCTTTTTTTAATTACTTCATCAAGATGCCTTTTGAAACATCTGATTTTAACTAGACACAGAGATTTCCAGTGGGTACAGCAAGTTTTAGATAAGAATGCCACTAAAAATAAAAAAAAAAAACCCAAAACAAAACAAAACCATTTACACTGCTCCTTTACACAAGAATCTTGCACATTTCTTAATGACACCAACAAAAGCAAATATAAAAATTCTTTAGGCTTTAAAAAAACAAGTCGAAGGACACTATCAACTTCATTTCCACTAGAAAATCACTTTAATCTTGCATTCTTATACAGGGGTCACTAGTTGGAAATTGCACAAGATGCAGAGGGTATATCTCTACATTTTTCATAATCACCTTAAACTGCACTCAATCAGCATTGTAATATGTCATCTTATAGACACACAAAAGTTCAAAAGGAAAAGCACATGAAAAAGCAGACTACCAAAAGCACTATTGTTAAAACTACACCAGAAAGCTTAATATTTCAATACTGTATATGTTAAAATAAACAACATACACAGGTGATGAAAGCCAGTCTCTGAAAAATTTATTATTCTGTTAGAACAAGTTTACACTTAGGATGAATTCTCAAGCTTCATGCCATTAGGAAGTTTTACTGGGTTTATAGTGGAAATGAATACAGAAATAAAAATAGATGACAATCCCAAAATACAGGCTGTACTTTGAATATGATCAACGGGCTTTCTTTTCCTTTTACATCTATATATTTCCTCTTGCCTCCAGCAATCAAATTTCTGTGAAAAGTTGCCTAAATTGCCTGTTTTCCTTTTTAAAATCAAATGCTTTGAAAGACAGAAGTTGAACAGACTAATATCTTGCATTAGCCGAGTATTACTTCCCTGAAGCCATTCTATTGGAACTTTACACCTTTCAAAAATTTATGATGTCAGTTTGATTCAGAGGATCCTGCCCCCTCCCCCCCCACTCCTCCAGCCCATTTCCTCTGTAATCTTACTTTGGCTTCCAAAAAAATTGACCCTAATCTTATTTCCTCCTCATATGCATGACATAAGTACTTATCCCATTGAAGTGAAAGGGACTGGACATCAATACTTTGGGTAAGATGGGCATAAAGGAAATACAAATGATTATTAGGAAAATTAATTTAAAAAGCAGTAAAGGTTTGCCTGGTGAATCTGCACACAACATTGCAAAACTAAAATTCTTGGAACTGGACTGGTTGGTAAACTATGCTACACAAAGCAAGAGGGACCACTGATTGCTCTAAACTTCAAATTACAAAGTAATAGCAAGAATTGTACATATTCTTTGTGAGGTAGATTCATAACTACTGGAAATTCAATTTTAACTTCAATATGAACATTACATAGTATTACAGAGTGTATTTCATAATTTCAAAGAATTTTAAATACTTCCCATTAAGACTTTTTCTGACCAAACTGAATTTTATAATTGCTCAAATTTGTCTCCATGTTCATTTTCACATGTTGGATAATGTAACAACATTTGTTGTTTATGTGAAGCATTACGCTTATCCTCATCCACTCGGATACTATTCTCTTATTCCTATTATCTGGATGAATAACTGATTGCAGTATGAAGTTTTATGAGTTAATACTTATTGTATTCAGTATCTCAAATAAAACATGGAAATATACATTTTTAATTACATAAGAACCAACAAGAAGTTACAGCTTTCTCCACAAGCATCACATCTTAAATTAATAATATTCTACATATAGGTATGTGGCCAACTTGGGGGGGGGGGGGGGGGAGGGGGGCGGTGTTTGGTTTTTTTTTTTTAACAGATTGTCAAACATTTCCTCAGTGTTTTGAATAGCAGCACACTAATCAGTTGGAGCGCAGAAGAGATATTAAATTTTGCTATTTTGCTTACAAGTTATTTAGTGTGAGTGGGGGGAATAAAATCTAAGTATAGAAGTACCAAAATTGATTTTATCAGCTTCAACATTCAGTACCTGATATATTAGGAGCATATATTGTTATCAAATACTTGACTTACACTCATATTCCTATCCCAGATCTGGATGGAGCCATCTTGACAGCCAGCTGCAATAAGTTTACCATCTCTGCTGTACGTGCAAGTTGTAGGAATCACCCGTTTACCTTGAACTGATCGTGGTTTAAATACGCTTTTGTGCTTTTTTTCATTGTTAACATCCCATGTCCTCACAGTTCTGGAAAAAGGTTTAAAGAGTTGTTTTAGATAAAGTCAATACATATGAAATAACTTATGATATAATCAAGCACCATTTTCAGCATAAATGGCATATGATATTGTTCAACTAAAGTTGCAATGGCAAAATAGTGTTTAAGATATGGTATGACAGTCATGAAACTAGCATGACAACTTTCCAAGTAAGAAACACCATACTCACTAAAAAAAATCAGTTCTTCCCAAACTGTGCCGTAAATACATAAAATTATTTACAACTGGACAAATGACCAAAGGTTAATATGCAGATACTATATCCTGCACTTTCCACTGTCACTGGAAATCAGGAAGTATTCAGTCCTCTACAAGAATCAAGACTTCAGGAAACACGCATGAATGCTTATACAAATTCATTAACTAAACAGATCGTCTTAATTGTTCTAACATGACAACAACTGACAAACCTGCTTTTAACTGGCAGTATTGCAGACTGGCTGGTTATCTTTCAGATTTTTCTTTATTTTTAAAAGGCATTTTAAATGATTAATTGCAATATTACTGTATTTCTCTTCCACTAATCCTGAAGGCCTTAGAGTTGCGATATAAAACTGTTCTTCAAATACTTTAAAGACTCATTTATGTAATATTGTTTGTTTCAAGTTGAGTTTTCCCCACATTATTAGCAAAATAAATACATCCTTTTTCTTTTTTAATGGAAAAAGAGTATCTACTGGGATCTTCAATGTTTCTTAGACACATGAAAACATCCAAATGAGAGAGAACTAAAACACTGAGATACAGGTGGAGTCTTTAAACTGTCTTAGATACAAATGTTTTCTGTCTATTTAATATGTTGAATTCTTTCCAGATAAAAATTCAAAACTTTCCTGGCATCTAATGCAGAGAAGAGTTTAGGATTTGGCAAAGGAGTGAAGATCATTAATTTAGAAAGAAAAAACCCACTAAGTTCTCAAGACAACCTCATTTGTTTAGACTATACAAACATTGCCTATGATCCAACAGCATGTAATTCACTGGTCTCTAGCAAAGCAAACACCACTTTAACAAAGGCTGCCATTTCTCCAGACCAAGGCAAAACACTGCAGTATAACATTAGGAACTTCCATCAGAGCTACAAGAACAAACACGCTACAGAGCTGACTTATATATAATAATTCTAGGACAAAACGCTCAAGAAAATGAGCTGGAAATAGCTCATAGAAGTTACATTTAATCAACATGTAATGACAGTAATGAGAAATCAGTAACTGAAGTAGAGTGAATCTCCAGTTGTCCATAATAAAGTCAAGATTAGTCTAATTTTTAAAAGTCTTCAAGTCTCACATCTGTAAGGCATCACTTCATTGCTTTATTTGAAGCTCTAGCATAAGAAATTCAAGTGTTCTAATGGCTGGTTTGGGTATGGGGATTTTTTTTCATTTTAAATGAAACATTAGATTATGATGCATTTTCTAGGGTCACTTAAATAAATCCATGCTGTTATATGGAACAGGTTGCCCAGCAAGGTTATGGAGTTGACTTTCTCGGAGTTAGTCAAAACCCATCTGGACATGGCCATGTGCTAGGTGTCTAGGTGATCCTTCTTTCAACAGGATGGTTGGATTAGAGGATCTTTGGAGGTCACTTCCATCCTCAACCATTATGTGATTCTGACATTCCCCTTTCCCTCTCCATGTGTTGCAGATAATGATCTCAGTCTTCTACCTTTCAACAGGTACACTGACACTTTCTCTCATTCTGATATTTACTCAAAACTTGAGTCTTTTTCCAGTCCCTTTCCCTCATAATATTCAAACCTTCTAGAATCTCCTCTGAATATCCTGTACCTTCAGTTTCTCTTCCTCCTCTTGTGATGATCATCTCCTGCTGGAAAGCTACTTCCTCTCTTATAGTGCAAGTTTCCCAAGTATGCTTTGGCATACCCACTTATCAGATGGTGTACCAAGTAACATGGTTATGTGCAAGGAAATTTAAAACCTGCCTCCCCTGTTTGCCTTTTTTATCTAAGATGCCTCACAAGCATCTCAGTTGCAATTAAAAAAACAACCTCTGAGAATCCTTCATTATCCTTATTTTTCATTTTTGCTGGCACAGAAAGAGTGTTTTAAAGACTTCAGTCTCCTCTTTTTAGGGCTCAATGTCCTGTCAAAACTCCAATCAACTCACAACACTACAGAGCATATTCTAACCTTCTTACTTATTTTACCTTTCAACTGTAAAGAAGTAACACTTCCATAGTTCTATCTCTTACAACACAGATTAAAAAAAAAGTGAGCCCTAAATCAACTGTAGTATCAGCAGATCAGACAAAAAAAGAAACCAAACAACCAACCAAAAAAAGCACCAAACAACAACAACAAACAAACAAACAAAAACAACAACAACAACAACAACAGAAAAACCCCACAGGTTTCCTGAGCTACTGCTTCTACTGCAGACAGTTGGTCACATTCCTTTACATACAGGTTACACACCCTGTTAAAAATGCTCACATAGCCTATAGTATGTGTTTAATGTCCCCTCAACATTTTCTTCATGTATCCAAACTAAATGTGTGTTTACCGTTTACTTGCTGCTGTTGGATCTAACTATAAAACTTTTATACTAAAATAAAATAAGTATTTTATAAGAAATCATCAATGTATTACTTACAAATTGATCAATCATTCCCAGGGAGTCCTTAACTACTGAGCTAAAACTAAGCTCTTTAATCTCTTCTTTCATGTGAGATCTTTTAAGTATTTTTATTCTTTATGGAAACAGTTCCAATTTGTATTTAAAAAATGGACATCATATTACAAACACATCTCTCAATACCATGGACAAAATTTCAGCTTACCACATGAATCAATCAGACCATGGTTTCTGGCTGAATCACCACCAACCAAAACATGAGAAGTCATCTATAAACTATGTATGTTTTATATTTTCCTTCAGACCAGTGATGGACTAGAAACACAGGGATTGCTGAAGGACCTCAGAGAGATACTTTCACTACCTCATTCTAAAGGCCTTCATCACACAGACTGAGTACGACTAATTTATTCTGACATTCCCCTTTTACACTCCATGCTCAATCAATAACTAACTGAGCATCCCATCTCTTCTTTCAGCAGGCACTTTGATGCTCCCCCTGCCTCCGTTTACACTTGAAACTTAAACTGAAGGCTGTTTCCAAACTCCTTCCCTCATAACATCTAATACTTAAGCCTCTTACTAAGAATATCTTCCTAGGCCTAAGTAAGTGTGGGATGAAAGGATAACAATGTTTTACACTCTATGTTGCAGCATTTAGCAGAAATATAATACTAATATTGATCTGTTGATAGGTATAACCTATTAACATTTATTTATTTATTTTTTGAAATAAAAGCATTTCCTGAATAAGACTTTTTTTCAACTGAAAACAATGTTTAATAGAAGGTTGTCCTTTGGTAAAAAAAAAAAGATAAAGGGATTTTTTTTTAAACTATCCCTCCAACATATAATGTTGTTCTTTCATTACACTGAATGATATGCACAGCCACATAATTATTTTCAATTTCTCTCTCATAAATTTCTTTTGAGATAAAACTTCCATGAAAAAGCCTCCACATACACAAGTTTAAATTTAACTTTATTAATGGTGGATTCCACATCTGCAAAACAGATTTTGTAAAGTTCTTATATTTGCCAAGAGCAACTCAAATCAACATAGAAAAGGATAGGAATGTTCTTTTGGAAAGGTAATGTGGATATTTTCCTGACCACTGTGAAATGAAGTGACCCATAATAAACAACTAATTACTGGGGTTTGGGAGGGTGGGGTGGTGTGGGTTTTTTTCCCCCTATAAATGCTTCTTCTCTTTTTTCCCCTCTTTTTTCTAATGTTCTTATGATGTTATTACTAAGTCAAAATTTCTAATAAAATTCTTTATTGACAGTGCTGCCGTATTACACAGATTATTGAAGGTATTTATGCAGTTGCATTTCCCAGCCTGTAAGCACAGAAAATTACTCTAAGTCCTGATACAGCAAGCCACTGACCATTCCAGTACTATTCTAATACAATCTGCTGAATTCAAGGAGTGAACCAATACAAATATTAAAAGCCTGACCTGTCAAATTCCACCCAGCTTCTCTGTCTGTCCCATCTCCTCTGTTTCTACTGCACTGCCAGACTCTCTTGCACAATATTGAATGTTATTGACATTTAATATAGTATAAATACATTAAATCTATTTTTTATTAAGTCTATTCTTATCACACTTAAAATACAAAAAAAAAGGCAAATAGAGCACATTACTGCTAAAAGTACAGATCAGTCTTGATGTTGTACAACTAGTAACTATTTTATGATGCTTATCTTTGTAATATATTATAATGCCTACCTTTGTAATATAAAACTACCCCAAAAGGCCACTTTTGAAAGCTACAACATACCTTAAAATCATCATACAAACACTGCTGCAATGGAATTTATTGGCAGAGCACAAAATTCCAAGTCATCACTGATAGAAAATACAATTTTAAAAGTGTTAAATTAAGCCTCATTATAAAAGAAGTAATTCATCATAAAGGTCTTTTTCATCTTTTTTAGGATATAAACCAACCTTACCTACACAGGAATGAAATTAAGACACTTATATAATACAATGAAAAATTACCTGAAGCAAAACATGTAAAGATAATAGATAGATAAGAAATAGATGAAAAGTTCTGTTAAGATGCACTTTGTGGATATGTTAGTACAAGATTATGTCTGCAAGAAAACTTCCGTTATTCTATTCTCTTTGCCCTCTTTCAGCAGAAGTAAGTTATAGTCTTCTTCTGTTGAGCATGTGGGACCAAAGGAAGGTTGAATCACCTGCCAGATACTGAAAAAAGTTATACCCACAAACAGATGGAGCAATCAAGAAACTTTCCATATTGTTCAGCAGAAAAACTTCTAAATAAGCCACCTACTCCCAGCATCTAAACAGAGTCAAAATATTTTAAACCAGAATACAAGAAAAGTCATAT